CACAGCCCTGCTCTTGCAATCCTGTCACATTCCCGCTGCTCCACCAAGCAGGTCAAAGGGCAGGGGAAGAACTCTGCTGACCCCACACAGTCTGAGGCACACCTGATGCTACTCAGCCACGGCACGACAATCCCCATCCAGAGCTTCTTCATCTTGATAGGCCACAGATTCTACAATTCTTTTCCTCCCTCCCTTACACACACACACACACACACACACACACACACACATGATGCGTATGCGTGAGTGTGGGCCATGACACACATGGTGAGGTCAGAGCTGGTGGCGCATGCCTTTAACCCCAGCACTCGGGAGGCAGAAGCAGTCGGATCTTTGTGAGTTCGAGGCTAGCCTGGTCTACCGAGAAAGTTCCAGGACAGGTTCCAAAACAATACAGAGAAAAAAACAAAACAAAAACCTTGAAATCCATGCAGGTGTGGTGGCTTGTACCTATATAGCAAGTTTGAAGCCATCTGAGCTACACAAAACCCTCTCAAACAAAGCCAAAACAAAACAAAACCCATAAAAGTACCTCCTGGTTGGCAAAAGTTGAAGTCTTAAAGTAGTTTTAAACCCAATTTTGGGCATTATGCAGCAGGCTTTTATTTTATTTTTTTGGTTTTTAGAGACAGGGTTTCTCTGTGGCTTTGCAGGCTGTCCTGGAACTCGCTCTTGTAGACCAGGCTGGACTCGAACTCACAGAGATCCACCTGCCTCTGCCTCCTGAGTGCTGGGATTAAAGGCATATGCCACCACTGCCCTGCTGCAGCAGGCTTTTAAAGCAGGGAGTATATAGTCAAAGTATCTTCTGCTCAGTTGCAACATTTCTTCTCCAGTCCCATTGCTCCCTGCTGCAGCAGGCTTTTAAAGCAGGGAATATATAATCAAAGTATCTTCTGCTCAGTTGCAACATTTCTTCTCCAGTCCCATTGCTCGAGGCATCGTCCTAACTGACCCCACCTTTGTGTGACTAGGTTTAAGACAAGGCTTAAAACTAAACCAGGAGACCCCTGCTGACCACTCAGTTTCTTCCTGGAAGCTAGGGTGAGAATGGAGGACTGAGTTTGTCCTGTGGCACAAATGACTAACAACGTATTAACTTTCCTCAGTGGGAAAGGTCATGTTCTCTCAGGTGGAGAGTGACAGCAGGCAGTATTTCTTCCTAGGCCCACCCTAGGGGACTCTGCTCCTCCCATGAGCCCCTATCCCTGTGGCTGGCACTCACTCAGGAAGAAGTACTTGTGCTGATGGTTGTATGGCATGTGCTTCTTCTTTTGTTTCCCAAGCTGTGAAGAAACAAGAGCAAGTCAGCAGCTGGACCAGATGTCCACACCTCCCCACGCCCCTCTGAGATGCCAGCTTTCCTTGCTCAGACACCAAGGCCTACTTCCAGAACCTTCAGCTAGCTGCTGCTATTGGAAGGCACTGGCAGGCCCAGAACCTGAAGCAAGTGGCCCTGGATGGTGACCTATGAATGTACCGTGACAAGGAACACACAGGAGGGCACAAAGTGTGGTCTACAGGACTCCTTATGGCTAATCTAAAGTCTCTGTCGCATGGTTTCCAGGTGTCCAGCCCCCTCCTGTTTCTGGTACTCTTTGTACCAGAGTCCTCAGCGTCTCTATGAGAAACTATTTTTGTTCCTGTGTAGGTAATTGGGTCTTTCCATCACAATCTTTTGGACTCTTGTCTTTTTAATTTTAGTGTGTGGGTGTTTTGCCTGCATGTATGTCTGCACCACTTGCATGCAATGCCTTTGGAGGCCAGAAGAGGGCAGAAGACCATCTAGAACTGGAGTTAACAAGTGGGTGAGCTCCCAAGTGGGTCCTGGGAATCAAACACAGGTTCTCTGGAAGAGCAGCAGTGCTCTTAACCACTGAGCCATCTCTTGACTTCAACCTGAACTTGATAAACAGTAGAAAAGTTACCAAGAACAATCTGGCAACCTGAAGGTTTTGGCAAAGCTTTGCTCCACTGGGTGGTTTGTTTTTGTTTTTAAAGCCAAACTACTGAACTGACTATCTGGGAGTCACCAGGCCACTCAATCATCCCAGGGCCCCTCACATGGGCCCATATACACTCTGCTGCCCTACTCCATGGCTCTGGCATTTCTTGCCCTAATTAGTTTTGGTGACCTCAGTCCAGGGCACAGCCTGCCTTCTCCTATCACATATCCACAAATAATTCATCAAAACTGAGTTCTGAGCCGGGCGTTGGTGGCGCATGCCTTTAGTCCCAGCATTTGGGAGGCAGAGGCAGGCAGATCTCTGTGAGTTCGAGGCCAGCCTGGTCTCCAGAGCGAGTGCCAGCATAGGCTCCAAAGCTACACAGAGAAATCCTGTCTCAAAAAACAACAACAACAACAACAACAACAAAACAAAACAAAACAAAAAAACCCCCAAAAAACAAAACTGAGTTCTGCTCAAGTGTTTTGGCTAGACAAGGCGGCAACTTCCCTGCATCCATGGTGTCATTCAACAAGCGCTGGAGGTAAGGGGTTAGCACTGTTCCAGTCACTGCCTCAGGAACGGAGAGCACAAAGGTGAACGGTATGAAGATCTTGTCTACATGTATCTTGTAATTTGAGGAGATGAGACTGGTAATAAATTTGTAAGCAAAGTTCAAGATAAATTACAGATTACAGAGAGGAGAGCAGGACAGACAGAAAGGTAGCAGCTCAGGCCTGGTTTCCCTTGGGCCCTGATAACCGAAAGATGAAGTGCCAGGCATGCAGAAATTCAAAGAAAGGTGTTCAAAGCTCAGGGCACAGCCAGAGCCAAAGCTATTGAGACCCACCACAACAGAAGGCTGGGAAAGCCAGGTTACCTAGGCCCTCAGAAAGCCCCAATAAAATTGAGGTGTTTATAATCTACTCTATAGCTCAGGTGGGCCTTGAACTCACTTATAGATGGTCTGCTCTATGTTTTGTGTTTGGTGGCTTTGTCCAGAGGTGGGGAAGTAAAATGCACATGCAGTCACAAGGGCCAATGAGGCAGAGATATGCCAGGTAGCCTGCTATGGTGTGGTGTGGTTTGTTCCCCAGGTGACCATGCTGCATGCTGGGTCACCAATGCAATGATGCCAGGAGGTACAGACTGCTGGGAGTCAATGAAACTGATTCCAGAGGGACCTTAGTAAGTTTCACCTTGACAGTGAATTTTCTTTTTCTTTCCAGACAGGGTTTCTCTGTATAACACTCTGGCTGTCCTGGAACTCACTCTGTAGACCAGGTTGGCCTAGAACTCACAGAGATCCGCCTGCCTCTACTCCAGAGTGCTGGGATTAAAGGTGTGTGCCACCAATGCCCAGAGAGAGGAATTGTTTTAAAGTCAACAAGATAATCTGGCTTCCTTTCTCACCCTAATTGCTTTCACAGCCACTCCCACCAAAGTCTGGCATCTCTCACAAGTCTCTGCCCAGAGGTCAAAGTGATGGGGCTGCTCCACCTTGAACTTTCACCTCCCAGAACAGGTATCTTTTCTTTACAAAGTACCCAACCTTGGGTATTTTGTTATAGCAACAGAAAGTGGGCAATTTATAATATAGAGGGGGCACTGGAGCTGGAGAATTGGATGGGATTAGGATATAGTCTGGAGACAGGTGAACAAGCCACGCAATATTATTGACCAAGGAGATCCCACTGAAGAAAAGCACCTTTTGGTTGGGGGGTGATCAAGTGTCACTATGATCTGCCCCACTGTGCTTAGACTCAAAGTGTCCCCTGTACCTCCTTGTTCTCCAGGAGTGTTAGGAGGCATTGGGCAGAAGCCACTAAACCAGAGCATTGCTACCTAGTTAAGCTGTCCCGAGAGACCAAACCACACCCATCTCCATGCCCCCTCATTTCTCTGTGTGTGTGTGGGAGTGAGGGAGAGGTGCATGCATGTGTGAAGGCATACTTGCCCACACATATGAAGAGCAGAGGTCAGCTTTGGGAGTCTCTGTTGATCTCCTTTATTTCTTGAGCCGGAATCTCTTGATGAACCTGAAGCTTAGTTTTTGCTAGACTGGCTGGCTAGCAAACCCCCAGGATGTCCCTGTCTTAACACTTCCTCTCTTCTACACCTGGTGTGTGTGTGTGTTGTGTGTGTGTGTGTGTGTGTGTGTGTGTGTGTGTGTGTGTGTGTGTGTGTGGTGTGTGTGTGTGTGTGTGTGTGTGTGTGTGTGTGGGTTAGGCACAGCTGCTGGGTCCGGCTTCCTCAGATGCTGAGGATCCAAGCACTTTAGCCACTAGCCACCTCCCAGTCCCTTCTCTCTTTCTGATGTTCATGGACCAGAGTTCCTTGAAAACCACAGAACCAAGAACCAGCAAAGGCCTCCCCTTTCCTTAAACCATCTGTGGTGACAACAGAAGCGCTTAGAGCCCTAATGAGCAGTCTGTCCTGTTTTAGAATGACATGGGCCAGTTCCCCACTGTGCACTGCTGACAAGGCAGAGGAGAACACACATAACAAGCCACCCGAGGCCCATGCTCAGGAAGTGAGAAAAATGGGACCATTAGGGACAGATGGCTATGAGTGCCCAGTGCCAGCACAGCCAGTGCTGCCAAGGCTCTTCCACACAGTGCGGCTCTGCCAGAGAGGACAGGGCAGTCAGGTTATCTTGAACTCATGCCTGAAAATGAACTGTGCTCAACAGCTTAATGCAAACATTAAGTGGGGGGAGGGGAGCTGGCAGAGCTCTAGAACGGTTTTTAATTAACTTTTCAAGGAATTCCTCTGGGCACTTGGAACTTTCTATTGCTTATGCTGGCCAGTGAGGGAGCTCTCCACCCTAGGGCATTTTTTCCTCCAGCAGTTACATTGTAGCATTTGCGCACAGCCTCAGCTGACTTCTCAGAGCCAATAGGGACCATGCTAAAAGACAGGATAGGCCCAGGAGGCAGGGGAAAGGTACAGCCATCCCTCTGTCCACAAAGATTGGTTCTAGGGTGTCCAGATACTCAAGTCCCCTGTATGAAGTGACATACTACTTGTGATAACTGATACATGCCCTCCCAGCATGCCTTACAGTAGCCCTGCAGGATGAGGGTTTGTTCTCTCTCTTTTTTTTTTTTTTTTCTTGAGACTGGTCCTTATGTGGCTCAGGCTAATAGCCTCAAACTATTAATTCTCCTGCTTCCAAATCCCCTGTGCAGGGATTACAGGTATGTACCACCATGCCTGGCTTCTTTCCTTCCCTCCCACCTGATCTTTCTTTCTCTATCTCTCTTTTTAGTGCTGTGTATGGAACCCAGGACTTTACTCAAGCCAGGCAAGCAGCTACCACTGATCTATCCCCCCAGCCTCCTTCCAGGATATAACAAATGCTCTCTAGACTGCGCTTATACCTCATACAGTGTAAGTGCTATGTAAAAATAGTTGTTATAATGTGTTCTTTAGAAAGTAATAATCAAGAACAATCTAGAGCCAGGGAGGTGAGAAGCTCCCTGAGAGGGCTCAGAGCGTAAAGCACTTCTGAGGAGGCCTGATGACCTGAGTTCAACCCCTGGAGCCCAAGTAAAAGTGGAAGAGGAAAACTGTCTCCACTAAGTTTGATACATACTCTCACACAATGATAAATAAATAAAGTTGAAAATCCCAGTAGGGTTGGTGAGGTGGCTCAGTGGGTAAAGGTATTTCCTACGTAAGCCTAGTGGCTTGAATTTCATCTCTAAGACCAAATAAAGGTGGAAGGAGAGAAGTGACTCCAAAAAAGTTGTCTTCTGACCTCCATACATACAATAATAATAAGTTAAAAACAGGCTGTGTATGTTCAGGATGGATGTAATTTTTCTGAATATTTGCTTAAGTCCACAGATGCAGAATCTCAGGATACAGGAGACAGCTGTATCCAGAGGGAGTGTTCTGTGCACTGATATCAGAGATATGAGACAGTAAAGTCATAGACAAGGCAGGCCGTGACACAGCAGGGTATTCCATGTAAGACACAGAAACGCCAAGTGCAAGGGAGTGGCTTCCTAGAGCAGGGTGTCAAGTGCACCCTGAAGATGAGCAGGGGCTTGCACAGAATGCCCTGTCACTCACTGAATCCTTTGCAGAATGAGGTACCTTTGTGTAGTAACTGTTTGCTGACTGAGTCTGTCCTGGACAGTAACAGTTTACAGCCTCTCACCCTCCACAATTTCCAGAAAGCAAGAGCCCGACAGGCCAGCCCCTGGTCCTACCTTGGCTGACAATACTGAGCAAACACTTTCCCTCCACCTGCAGAACAGGCTACTCTCTGATCCCGTCCGCACAGACGCCCAGCTCACCTCCACAGAGAGGACCTTGCCCAAGGCGAAGAACAGGGGATGCATGTTGATGTCTGGGTCTTTGCGGAAGCAGTTGGGCTTGGCATGGTGCTGGAAATGCATGTGGTTCCACCAGCTGGCAGGAGCCCCCTGCAGAGAACTGCAGATGTGAGTGAAAGCCCAGTGTACAGGACCCGAGTTCAATTCCCAGCACCCACATGGCAGCTCACAACTGTCTGTGACTCCTGTCCATAGGATCTGATGCCCTTGCTTGTGATATACAGACATACATGCAAGCAGGGTACCCGTACACACACATAATAAACAAAAAAATAAAAATAAAAAGAAAGAAAACACAGCATCATGAGCCCTTCTCCCACCCTCTGGCAGCCATGAATGACTGGGATTTGGGGAAGCCCCATCAATTCATTGACCTTCAGGTGGCCAATCACGAAATGATGTAGCAGGTGGTTCCATGTAGAAGTGCCAAAGACTGACAGGTGCCCAAAGTCATGCTGTAGCCAACCGGCCTGGGCCTAAAAGAGAAAGGTTAGTGCCCACAGCAGCCCGTACCTAGGGTACCCCTCACAAGCCTCAGCCTCTCCATACTGGATTGGTGCCCTACCTCAAGGGAACCATGGGTAAGCCATGGAACCTGGGTCCCAATTCCCTCTTGGCCACTGGGTCACATGTAAGTGGAGGCAGACCACAGTCCCTTCTTTCCTCTGAAGTGCCATGACTTAGGATAGACTGGCATCCAGAATACAGACGGCTAGTCCAAATCCTGGTGCTAGACCATGATTGGCATGCTGGGTGATATCAGCGGCGGGAAGGGAGTCGAGCATTGGTTCTTGGCATACGTGGAGGAGTGTGGTAGAATCTGAACCCGAGATTTCAGAGAGCAAACCACACAGGAAGAAGGGGACCTGGGGAGGGGAGCTGGAGGGCTGTGAGCGAACCAAAACATGTGCGTGACTAAAAGGATATGGAAGTCCCACACAAGAGAATGTGTGTTCTCTCCCTGTGCCAACTCTCCTGTGTATCTTCAGATCCTAGGCAGGATTCTTGGCCTTGATGTTTTTCCTGGGAATCCCAGGAATGCCAAAGGCACTCACCTGAACTACACTGAGCAGCACTGCACAGAGGAAGAAGGGCACCAAGGATGTTCCAAAGATCCAAAGAGTGAGCCAGGCAGCCACATCCAGTAGCAGGATGTGGAGCAGGTAGAACAGGAAGAAGAGGTGATTGGCCTTCATGAGGCCCATCCGCTCCACCGTAGCCCGCAGTTCCCGGAACTCATCAGTTAGCTCTTTCTGTGGGAGAGTGGGGCTATAATTCTTCCCATCGGCACCCCAACCCCAACAGAGAACCTCCCATGGAGGTAGCTGTGGGAAGTTCACAGTCTTCGGCAAACATACCCTGACGGGGAAGGATGATCTGACGGAAGAAGCTACTATGAATGACATCATGTCCAGCAGCTAAGCAGACTTAATTTGGGTTCCCACTGTGTAACCTGAGGCTCTGCAGCTTAAACTCTGAGCCTCCATTTTCTCATATGTACATGTGTAAAGATTATTATATTAGTTTGCATTGGCACACCGTACTCAGTAAATGGGTCTGCAGCTGGCGATGGCATTACTGGAAGAGACATGTCACCCCAGGACTATTCTAGGCTCCCAAGAACTGTCACCTGTGATCCTATGCAGGCACCTGCCCCTCTCCCTCCACAACCAAGTCTCCAAACAGCAAACGGGGTCTCTCACATTCTTGGTGGGTTCGAAGCTGGGCTGCTCTGGAGCCAGCTCTCCGATCAGAAGAGAGTTCATATACTTTCTCACAAGGCCCTTGTTGATGTGGAACGCCACGAAAGGATCCTGCAAGAACAGGGAGTAGACAATGAGGACACCCCCCCCAGCCCACCAGGTTCCTAAGGGCCTCACACCAAAGGCCATCCTCTAGGCCAGCCTCTAGGCCAGCACTAAAGTCTGCACCCACGCTGAAGCAAAAGCTTCCTCCCTCTGGCTACTGCACTTCTAGCTAGCTGTCTGCCAGCCCCAGATCACCCAGCATTTGGGTTTCCACTGAAAGCACACTACACCAAAGAATGGGAAGCCTCCCCTGGATGCAATTCAGAGAGACCTGCCCAGGCTGGCCTTCATGTCTACAGACACTTGGTGCAGGAATTTAATACAGGAGAGAAGCAGCTTGCAGGAATAGGTGGGGTTATGAGGCTTTTGTTCCTATAGTACTTTCAACAAGTCCTTTTCTTTCTTAGCCAGCTTCTCTATAAACAGTGATGAGGAAGACTCCCTATGCCCGAGCTGGGGAACTGTTCACATTTCTTCCTCTTTGGGCACGGTTTCCTATTTCCCCCAACACTAACCACTCACTGTTCTAGAGTTAATGTGGGTTTTACAAGGTGGGTGGGAGAACCTCAGGCCTTAGGGAAAGAAGTGGAGGCGGAGCCGTGGGCAGTGGCACCACACATCCAGACCAATCGCTGTCTTTGCCTGGGCCCCCAAATCATGCTGAATGGGAAGCCTAGATAGACAGTGTGCACAGAGACTCCACAGACAGTGAAGGTAGACAGTCTGCTCCATATGTGCATGAATCGGTAGGATTGCACTGCCCTCTGGACTCTGGAGTGGTCACTACTAGTGACTGGCTCTATTTAGCCTGGTCTCTTAAGTCTGTGGGGTTTTGTTTGTTTTTATCAGAGTGCCCTCTACCTCTCAGCATCTAACCCTGGTCACCCCGGAAGCATGTTAGACTGGCAGAGAAGGAATAAGGGGTAGGGGAGATTGGCTTAGAAGACAGATGGACCCCAAGGTAGGAATCCAACAGTTGGCAATCTGCCACAGAGCGCTCTGCTCTAACTTTTGAGTGCCAAGGAATAAGTCTCTCCCAGTTCCACCCTCGGCTGTGAGTAAGGGTATGGTCTATGAAGAGAACAAACAGAGCCACCAGACAGAGGCTGGGAGTGGGCACTGACTCGACCTGCAGTAAACACCAACGGAAAAGGGACGCTATCCTGCTAAGTGTCTGATCACCTGGGGGCCTTCTTCCCGAAAAAGCTGGAGACCTCCCTCTCAGGATCCTAGGACAGTTCTGGGATTCCAATCTAGGTGTATGCGGATGCAGACGCCCCCACTGTCACACCTCTCCGGTTACCCACAGTGGCTGATCCCGTTGGCTTTCTTGGAGCGACGCAGGTCCATATTCTATACTCCCGGCTTCATAGCGCGAACAGGGGGTGCCAAACCACAGGGTTCTCAGTGTCACCCCTATCGCGAGCGGTCCTCTGCGGCTCCCTTCCCGCTCCGGATCCCAAGTGGGGGCCGGCTCTCCAGGTCAGACAAGGCTGCGTTCACCCTTGCAGCCCGGCAGACAGGATGTGACCGATCCCCTTTCCCTGAACTGACTCCTCCTCTGGCCGCCCTAGGCAGCACCGCGATCCGGGTGCCCAGCAAGCTCGCTCCCTCCTAGCCCAGCTCAGGAAACAACCCACGCCTGAGACTCCAGAGGCAAAGTACGGACGTGCAGCCAGCCCTTTGTTTGAGTGTGCCTGGCGCGGGCCTCCATCCCCAGCCTCGGTCTCTCCCGCGCTTGCATCCCGGGTCCG